CATTTTGCTCTTGAAACAATTGAATTATTTTTTTTGTTAATTAATCTTCAGAACCCTATTATAGCTGTGTAGTGATAATGAATGATTATTAATAATGCAAATGAAAATAATGTTTATCCGCAATAAAATAACTCATTCTCGAAAAAAAAGTCAAATGACGCGATATTGTTGGTAAACATGAATATCAATAAATTTGAAAATTTAAAACTTCAATCATTTATTAATTAAATTAGACGTGAATTTTGGAATTATAATTTAATTCGAAATTTATGAGCAAATGGATTAAAATAGTAAATTGACAAATTGAGATTAATTATTTTTCTCTTTTGAAGCGAAACAACAAGAAAAGAAATTGGATTGAAGAAATGGGATTGAAGCTATTTTGATGATACAGAAATGATACGTTGAAGTTCTCCGAAATTTTTCCAATTACATTTATTAGAATTTGTTCGTATAAAATAGGACAATAACTATTCCAAACTAAATTCCTTTCTTTTTTTCTAAAAATTTAACCTAAATACCTTTTTATAATTTGCAAATAAAACTTAAAAGAAAAGAAATAATTGGTTAAAGAAGCTCAAATGATAATTAATGCTTTAGCGTATTGATTGCTAAATTTCAAGTTTAACATAGTTAAGTGTAAAAGTTATAAATATTATAATATCGGCGGTTAGTTTTGGAGAAAAGTAATGATAGGTAAGAGTACAATGAAGTCTCAAAAACAATGGAATTAAATACAACTGTAATAAACAATTTTTTGCTGATTTATGGACTTTCTAAAATGATTAACATTAAACAATAGCGAATTTAAAATGGATTATTTTAGGCTAAGACTATTGACATCAGAATAGTAATAACAATTTTGCTAATAAATTGATAATGATAAAATGATTTCCATTCAATAGATAAATTATCCAAAAAAATAGATAATTCTAAAAATATCTATTCGTTAAAAAAAATAGTAACTAAATGTTCAGATGTACAGCTTTATATTTCAACTTTTCAAACTTTCTGATTTTTCGGAAATGTATCGATGATTAATTAAATATTCATTTATATGCTTGGGAGTAAATCATTCTTACAGAGTAAAGTAATTTAAATCTTCGATTTCTTGATGACTCATTGCTTCGAAGCTTGATACCATTTATTTGAGATGTAATATATCAGTAGATAAGAAGCACAGAATTACAAAACTTATGAACAATATAATTTAAATTAATATTTTAGAAATTTCATTTCAGTTTACTCAGTTCTGTTAATCAAAAGTAATACGAAATGAGAAACAAACGAAAGTATTTGTCTTCTCATTTAATAATTTTCCGCTTTTATTTTTTTGCCAGTTTTTTTAAAATTTAATATTTGCATGGTTGGTATTTCCTCCTTAATTTATTTATTCATTTGAAAATAATTAGCTTAAAATATAGCTTTCATTTATATTTGGTTTTATAACCAAAATTCGGATTTCTTTTTGGATTAAATAAAACAGAATAAATTAGACAATATTAGTATCAAAACATTTGTAAAAAAATTTTAGAACAATTATTACTTACAGCTGTAGAGAGAAGCTAATTAAAATTACTAATTAAATTTACTGTGAGAAAAAGTTTGTTAATTGTATTTTAAATAGAATAAATGTGAATTTTCGATTATTTCAGAAAGAGAAAAGAGAAAACTTAAATCTTCGATCATTTCACATATTTCATTCATTACTTACCTTTTCGATTTACTAAACAAATCAAACTTTATTGAATATTATTTTCTCTTTCACTTTTAAAACTTTTAGCTTTTCTCAAATGGATTTTTACTATAATAAAAAGAGTGAAGTTTTTATCACAGTGAAAAAATAATTTATTTATTATAAATGATGAAAGAGTTCTTTTTTTCCTTTTCTTATTTGATAATAATGACAGGCGCATTTGTCGCATTTCTGATCAAAATCACTTTTGGAATTTTCTTAAATGAATATATTCTCGAATAAGATGTGCGCAACTTAAAATAATAATTTTAATTGTGACATAAAAAAGAATTAGTGGGGCAGAGAATCGGAATATAATATGAGTTGGTTTTGAGGTATGTATTTTGTTTTGCACGACGTAATCATTTTACTATAAAATTATTGATCCGGATATCTTCACTGTAAATCTATGTGTAATGAACTGAAGTGAATTTAATTAAAACAAATAAGTCGTGATAATGACCTAAGAAGTAAATAGTGAATCCGACTGAATAAAATCAAATAAATTTGCTTCATAAATTAAATGATTCAAATTGAATGATTGGTTTTTTTGGTTTAATCATTTCATGATATTATCAATAAAATGATAATTTTCTTTCGATAATGTTGAAAATAGATAAAATAAAGGAGTTGGAAAGAAATATAAAACAAATTATTAATATCGCCTAAAATGGATTTTATTTTTTATTCATTAAAGCCAAATTTTGATTAGTTAAAATAATATTTGTTTGTCATAAATGCAAAAAATCGATAAATCTATTTTTTAGCACCAGCCTTCAAAAGCTTTAAGAAGAAGTTTGAACTTTATACTTTTAATTTTTATTTTTTTCAATATTTCATATTTCGCCTTAATACTGTGTTTTCCATTTAAGATTTAATTAAAGCTAAAATTATCTAATAAAATAATTATTGATTCTTTTGCATCATTCTTGAAATCTCAATATCATCTAAATGAACTGTAAATATTTGTAATTAGTTCTTTGTATTTGTGATTAGAGCATTCTTTAAGTGATAGTTCTATGATAATAAAAAATATCTGAAAGTTTCTTGAAGTAGGAATATTTTTTAACATTAGAATTTCATAAGAAAAGAGAAATTAAAAAATATTCAATTTTTTGAATTCATATTTAAAAGTCACTGCAAATTATGATTAGTTAATTCGTTTAAAATCATCTGAAAGTTGTTTTTGATAACAATAATTTATCAGAAAAATTATTGCAATGTTTTTTTATCAATGATAAATGTCATTCAGTCAAACTATTATTCCATTCAATTTTTAATTTCATAGTTTCTCTCTCTTTATTTCTTGAATAATTAATTTGACCAAATTGTCATAGGCCAACTTCGCAATTATGAAAACAATAACAAAATGACAATATCATATTTTTATCGATAAGAGGATGAAATTTCTAAACGATGGATAGATATTCGTTGAAACTGTCAGTTACATTAATGGAAATGCTGAAAGTACCTTTTACTGTAATACTTCTTTTCAATGATTAAAAACTCTTTGTGCTACAAACAATTGCAATAATATTCAAAGTTTCAATAATTTTTTTCCTTTTATCTTTTGATTTAAGCAAATTTCATCGATATCCAATTAGTCTTACTTAATGTCATAAATCTTACAACATTTTGGGATAGTATTACCGAAATACTTAATATCCCGTTATTATTATTATTATTATTTCCAGTTCATATTAATATATTATTTATTACTTTTATAAAACGATTTCATTTACTATGTTGTTAATTGAGTTTTTTTCAGATTGCTATTTATTCAAATTTTCAATTTTTACAATTGGTAGGAAAAAGAAGACGAAGATGAAGAAGACGAAGGCAATTGCGATACCCATAACGACAACGATAACAATGACGACGACAACGACGACGACATCATCCAATAATATCACGACGAAAACGTTATCCAACTGATCAGTAGGAATTGTTACTTTTAATGCAACAGTTGTCTATAAAACAAGTTTTGTGGAAAACAATAATAATCTATCCTTTTCTTTCCTTATCTCAACTTTACATCCTTCTCTCTCTGCAACACATATATATTTGAATTTAATCAAACAAATGGATGGCAAATATTCGGTGCATATTGACAGGGAAGAAATAAACATCGAAAACACCAAAAACGGTAGAAAGACGAATAAACGGATAAATATGAAATAAATGAATGAATGAAATGGAAGACTGAGAGACTTCCTCCTTTACAAAGTTCAATGATTATTTACACTCGTAAGATAACGGACTGATCGATCGATGACGGATCAATTCTATACATTTACATGAATGCGTAGTACGTGTATGTCTACGTATGTATGTATGTCTAGCTCTCTCTATATATATGTACATCTGTGCGTGCACGTATTTATGTGTAATATTTTTTGGTGAAACGGAAAAGAGTAATATGAGTGACAACCGGATGACACTATCAATGATCAGGTATATACGTGAATATATATTTATATCTAAGTTGCACACAATGACAAAGAAAAGAAGATTTAACAAATGGTAATAGTTAAATTATTTTATATCTTTTATAAAAGTTTAATATTTAATAAGAGAGAAATTTCATTTTCTCCTTATTTTCCATTCTACATTATATTATTTTATATTATATAAGAATGCTTCTGCTTATTTAAATTTGAGATTTTTTTTCATACTGAATTATTTATAGAATGTAAATTTAAAAAATAAGCTACGCATTTACGTATGTATAACAAGATATATATATATATCCGTCCCGCGGTTCCCCATCCTTACTATTACCCCGCCCTTCGAATCCCGCCTCCTCTCGCATTCATTCGCAAAACTGAATACACCAACAGATGGCAGAAACTAGAATGGCGATGATATTAGGTAAACGGTTTTAAATTTTCACAAAAAGGCACAAGATATGGGGAGAGAATGAGCGGAGGTGGACTCCTTTTTTGATCGTCGGTTTTGCAGTCTTACCAGTTTGAAATTCTTCCAAATTTCAGCTTCCCTCTTATCTTTTCTCCTCCTCTTCCTCCTCTTTTACATCTTCCTTGTTACCCCGCGGTTATCCCCGCCATTCCTCTCCCTCTTATTCCTTCTTACCTCTCCCCCTTTTCCTCCGTTTATCCTTTACTCCCGCCCTGTCCACATCTTTGTAACCCTTTTTCAACGGAAGATAGTTCAATGAATTCATTGATATCCACCAAATGAGTAGTTTTGTAGTAGTCAACAATGGGGTTGTATTAGTTTGGTATACCTGACAGATAGCAACTTAATGTTTGACCGCTTCTCTCGCGTCCCACCCATTCCCCGAGGGTTCCTTTATTTACATCATTTTGCGGTTTACGAATGGTATGTATGGCTGAAGCGGAAAGTTTCGGATATTCGTAAAAGCGCCAACGGCATATTTTTCTTCTTTTTCTTGGAATTGGGGATAGAGGTTAAAGGAATGATTTTCTTTAAGGAATGTAGACCTGATAGATGGTGTACCTTCTTGACACACACATACCCACACACACGCACGTACATATACACACATCTGTATATCCCATGGGTTACTTTGCCTCGGGTCATAACACGAGCTAGGAAAAACGTGGGTGGAGAGACAAGATAAATGCGACATTTAATTGTAACAAATAATTTTGATATTTGAATGTTTTCTTGGATAATATGACATCAGCATGTAAATAAATAAAACCCTTAAGGCAAAATTTGTAAGTAAACTTCAGGAGGGAGAAGTTAATAGCCTAAGGGTGGTAAGAAGAAAAGGTATAACTTTGAGGTATAACTTCTCAATTTCAGTTAAATGTTAGTATTTAAGCAAAAAAAGGAAAAGAAAAGAAAAAAGGCAATTAATTAAAAAGGTCAAAATTATTGATTTAAGTAAAAAAATATAAATTTAGTAAGAGAAAAGGGAATTTTTTGCTTTTTTAAGTATCACTATAGATTAATTTAAAAGTAAGATAGTTATTTAATGATATTTATTTATGGCGGTCTTCCTTTTCTTTCATTTTCTTTTCCTACAAAATCTAATTTATCATTTCCTTTTTCTTTTTCTTTTTGCTCCATAACCGGGTGTTACTACTATCTACTACTGATGCTGCAAACATATTTAACAATTTACAAGGGATACCGGTCTATCACGAAGGTTATCACTGTTGCTATTGTGCTCATCGTTATCACGAAAAGTTACACTGAGGGAAAACAAGTTATCAGAGAGTATCCGGACAACTTGTGGCCCGAGGCAACAAATTACTGGTATTAGCAGTAAACGTTAAAGAAACGTAATGCAAGTGAGTCATATTAAACGAATACCTTTCAACTTTTTCTTTTGCTCTCATCCCCTCTCTTTCTTCCTCTTTTAACTCCTTTGTTTTTACGGCATTGAAACATTATTTATTAATTACACTAACAATTTGTATGGCAGAATCTTAGGACCAATGATATCTATTTAAATTTTGGCCATTTTCAAATTAGTTAAAAAAGTCATACCAACCATAAATTACAGCAACATGTTGTATTTCATATCTCAGAAATCGGTTAAATTCACATATCATTCATTTTACCACGTTTTTTATTTATCAAAAAAGGTTTCCGTTTAATTGATAATTTATGATTTTGATAATTTGCTAAAACTTAAAATTTCCAACGTTATGATATTCATATATAATTATGTTTAATTTTTTAATAAATGTATTTTAATTAAAGTTCTCTAAATTTTTATTATTTTTGCTAAGCAATTGATTGAGAGCACACGAAGCACAGATAGTTATCTTTATTAAATAGTAAATATATTCTGCCATTATATAATTTAAAATTTAATCAAATCAACTTTAATTATCATAAACTTATCTAATTTATATCACATCCTACTTCTCTTCCACTGAATGAATTTTCTTTCTTCAATCGCATTTTTGAATTTTATTCCATTTATATAAATTTTCTAGCATTTATATTTATATTAAATATTTATAATAATTGTAATGTATGACGAATATTGGGAGTAATCATGATAAACTATCATTTGTTAGATGATAGTACTCACATTTATATTTCATCTAATTTAATCCTTCCATTATAATGATTAGATGGAGTGATAACTAAAATGTAAGAAAAAATAAACTGCTAACTTTCGATCTTTACTAACTTCAACTTAGATTATTTCTGATAGTTGAAAGAAAAGACTCTAATCAATAGAAACATTTGCTTTAGGAATAGAAAGAATGAATAATAATGCTTAAGCCATAATCAGTTTTATCATTTCATAATTTCAATATGATTTAAATGCGTAATGTGAAAACAATTGATTCACAATAACTGATAATGGATAAATTCATTCTATGAAATGATTAATTAATCAATTGTAAAGGAAAGAGACGAAACGTTGTAATAGTTGTTTTCATCGAAGCTTGAAATTGTGTCTCTATTTAATTTGTTGATGAAATTCCTGTTTCTCCGAAAAATATTGAAGTGGTTAAGTAATCCTTAAAAGGATTTTTCATCTCTACTACCGCAATAAAATGTATGAGAAGAGGAATTTCTTTTACTGTCACCAAATTTTACTACTTTTACGATTTTTCTATTTTTTCTTTTCATCCCGTTAATTTGACAGTAAATTAAATCTTTTCGATGAAAAGTAGGAAGGAAAAAAACCAGAAAAAGAAAAGAGAGAGAGAGAGATAGATAGAGAGAGAAAAATGAAGAGAAAACAGAATGATAGAAATTGGAATTATTTAAAGAATTATTCAAAGTGACCTTTTTTTTGCTAACTTCTTTATCCTTTCCGACTCTTTTCCGTTTTCTGTTATCCATTTACAGGAAGGAACGGAATCTTTCCGTAGTTGAAGATAAAGCCATTAACAACAATCAGTTGTAAATTTTCTCTTTCATGAAACAAACATATTTAATTAAAGCTTTCTTTAATTTTATAAATGAAAATAAGAGGCAAAAAACCGAACAAGAAAATAAATGAAAGAGAGAAAGAGGAAGAGATAGAGATTGAGGAGAAGAATAAATAAATAAATAAATAAAAGAAAGAATAGATGAAAGAGAGGGAAAAAGAAAGAAAGAAAGTTTCTTATCATTATTATGATAATATCGCAATTCATTTACATTTTAATGTATTCATGCAATTTACCCATGCAATTCATTAACCTTTTTCATTATTATACAAAAGATTTTATGAAATTTCAGCCACTACTATTGTTTAATTGTTTAATTGTTTAATTGTACGAAGAAATTTTAATTTCAAAGAAAGCAAAATTATAAATTAAATTTTACAATTTATAATTTCGTATAAATTTGATAATTATTTTTCATGCAATTAAACAACGGTAGCATAAAAATTTTTTAAATGTAATTGCATAAAATATAGTAATTTGAAATTATGTGCTAACAGTTTAATAATTTTGGAATAAATTAAATCTTGGAAAAAGCAAAAAAAATATTTATCCTTTTCTTCTTTTATTTTAGAGCCTTCAACTTGAAGGTATCGGAACTCAACCTATTTCCAATGAACAGCAGCAATCATTGCTACAGCAACAACAACAACACCTCGGATTTCCGTCTCCGGCTTACGCATTCGCTTATAATCCAAGCCCTTATCCACAAACCGAACAAGTAATTCATCCAACTTAATTCTTTTAAGGCAATATGAAATTTGAAAATGATCCTATCAATATAATATCAACTAATAGTATTTTAAAAATCTTTTATTTCAATGACATTTTCTACTTTCCTATGATTGTCATAGAATTCATGATCGCAAAAACTTCAGATTTTATCTAAAGAGAAGATTTCTTCAGAAAATTTCTTTATAATTTTTTCAGCTGCAACAATATAATATTGCCAGCTCTACATCAGAACAGTTCCGTGAACAGACTAATGACCTTACACGTGTCACGTGTTATCAACAACAAGCTAATGTTCATTACAGCGTCATTTTTCTCATTCTTCTGAGTAATTTCAAATTTAGATTTGGAAAGTAGACCAGAAAGTTTGGTAACTTTTTGGCGATTCGATAAGTGGAATGAGGTCGTATTTCTAATTCAATATTACTGCTTATTTTTCAATCATTTATTGATAAGCAAACTTATTTTCAGGTTCACGTTCCGAATGGACGGGAATACCTGATGGTTACCGGTCGACCACAACCGGTTTTCATGCAACAGTTATCTCAACAACATATTCCCTCAACTACTTCCTTGCAACACCATCATCAACAACAACAACAGCAACAACAACAACAGCAACAGCAACAACAACAACAGCAACAGCAACAACAACAACAACAACAACAACAACAACAACAACAACAGCAACAACAACAACAACAGCAACAACAACGACAACAACAACAGCAACAACATCATAGCATGGTTGCAGATGCTAGAAGTGTTGATACCGTAGATTTTGAATTCTTTTATATTTTAATTAAAATGTTGAATAGAAAAATATATTTTCGTACTTGTACTGTCGACTACAGCTAAATTTCGATGAAAAAAGAAATAATCTTTTTTATGAGAAGAAAAATTTGCCATTGTGAGATTAAGCATTTATTTATATCATTCATTCTTTATTCTTTCCAGGAAATGAGTACGTCATCATCAACACAAGCAAATATAAGTGAACAACGTGGAGTTATTCGTAAAGGTAAATATAAAATAATAATTAATTCTTAAAACTTTTGGCAAAAAAAAAGTAATGAAATCTTTACCTGAAAAATGACAGTATACATTTATTTGTGAATAGCCCTTTTTCTCTCTATCTCTGTTTCTCTCCCTCTGTTTAGCTTCCTTTCTATTTTTAAGCAGCATGTTCAAGACCTAAACCAATGATAACGACATGTCCAATGAATGGACAATTGATGCATAGCAGCAATCAAACATCTCATACTGTTAATTATCTTGATGTCTTTTGTTCAGTGCCGGGTTTGTTTTCCAGAAAGTTTATTTATTTAAAATTGATAATTATTATTTGAAATTGCTTTTGAAGTTAAATATTTAGATTTTATAAAATCTGAGTATAATTAAAGAAAGTATGATTGATAGTAATCAATAAATGATAACATATAAGATTAGATACATCTTCTAATATACTACTTAATATGAATAAACTCTAATAATATACATGTAATAATTATCAATTATTAATTGAATAGAAACTGAGAAATAGGAGAAGATAAACTTCATAAGTTAGCGAGGATTGGATTGGTTATAATCCATATCTTTTATTATGATAACTTGGATTATAAGATTGCGAATTATAGGGAGTTGATTTCACGATACATAAACGATAATGTAATCTTTTGAGGAATAATATTTGTTTTATAAAACAATTTGTAAATATAAAATTAGATGCATATTAAACTTTCTAATAAATGAATGAAATGATGAAGTGAAGATTCAACAATTGTTAAGTGATTTTCTTCATTTTCAACAATTTGTTCACTTCGAATACATAATCAACGTGAAAATTAATTAATCATTTTTATTATTAAACAATATTTACTTGCTATTAGCGAATATATAAATTGTGTGAAATATCAATTTATTAATTATTTTACTTTTTTTCAAAATTCGATACCTATTTGCTTGTGATCGTTATGCGAGGAGAAATATAGGAATGAATGAATGAATATTAAAGGTCGGCTAAGTTTGCTCAGCAGTGCGGCAAAGTACAAAGTGACGGTAGGTGAAATTCATCGACGACTTTCACCGCCGGAATGCCTTAATGCATCCGTTTTGGGTGGAATCCTTCGCAGGTAATTGAACGAATTAACAATCATTTCTATATTTCACTGCAAATTCTTAATTTTTACTCCTTTTTTTTCATTTTCTTTTCTCTCTATCGCTTTTTCTTTTTCCATTTTCTCTCTTTCTCTTCTGTCCTTCTCTGTTTTTCCTTCTTGCAAATTTAAATATTTTGTTTGATTAATCGTGTAATTATTTCATGAAATGTTGCAAATTTTAAATGATACAATCAAAATTGGATTATTAGGGAAAAACTCAACGATACTTTAATAATTTAGAATAATAATCGTTAAGAAAGCAACAACGTTGTGTTATTTCCTCGAATTTTAATTCCAATTTAGGTTTCAATTTAATTTAATTTACGCCTGAAAATCAATTCATTTTTCATCAATGCTAGCCTATTTAAAGAGTGATGCAGAAAATACTGAAATAGTTGAAAAGATTTGAATCTATATTTCAGAGCGAAATCAAAAGATGGGGGCAAATCGTTGCGCGATCAGTTGAAACGAGTTGGTTTGCAGTTACCAGCCGGAAGACGGAAAGCTACAAATGTCAATTCGCTTACAGCGCTTGTTGAATGTTAGTTAGTTTTTATGAAAGGAATTTTTTATAGTATGAAATGTGAGAAAGAAATTAATTATTCAAAAAATTGAACGACACTACTTGATTACACTTTTTAATATCATCTGATTTTTCAAACTTCAAAATCACTCGATTTTTCGCTTTTTATTCGCGTAAATATGACCATAGATAGTATATTTGAAAAAGAATAAAATTATGTATTGTTTTATGGAACTGGCCAATTAGAAAATAAATTTCATCTGTTTATAATATCCTATCGGGAGATCCTCAATTACTGCAACATATTTTCTTCAAAGTATAGATCGGATTCCAAATAAATTTTTGCATAAAAATATGTAAATCAAGAAAAAAGGGGAATCATTACCGCTTTTCGATTTAAAGTTTTAGTTTACAATTATATTGATTGGTATATGTAATCTCGTTATCTTTCAATATATACTTTATAATTACTGCAACATAAAGAGTTTTATTTACATATACAAATAATAATTACTTTTTTAGTATGAATTCTTTCTTAAAATAATTTTATGATGAAAAATTAGCGATAAATAGTTGATTTAATACAGTTGAAGCGATGCATTTGGCAAAAGATTTCAATGCTGTCTGCGAGAATGAATTTCCTGCTCGAGCAATTGCCGAACATTTAACACGCGGAAATTGTTCAATGGAACCATTGGATATGCAACGACGAAAGAATATGCTGTTGGCAACGAAAGCAACTTTAACTGAATTGAAAGAATTGTTGAGCAACGATCGGAGCCCAATATGTTCCTCAAGGCCACAGCCAATTTTGGAACCCATCGTACAAAGTCGATTAACACATTTTTCAATGGTTTCTTAATTAGTTTCTCTATTAATTGACAATTATATTTTCTTTTCTCTTCTCTTCTTCCTCTCCTCTAAACATTGACTATTTTTTAAACAATTGAGTCATTTGCATAAGACAGAAATAAATAGCTATAATAGAAATAGTTGAGAAGGATTGAAAAAAGATTATTTTAAGGTTTCTCTGAAATGAATAAATTGGGAGAAAAGTTAAGGAAGGAGCATTTTCCATTTTAATAATTCATTTGTTTTAATCGTAAATTCCATTTTAATTAAAAAAACATTTCATTCCAATTGTTCTTCTTCTCTTTGTTATTTTACTCTCTTTTAATTACAATTTTTTTTCGTAATAATTAGTAAACCTAATTTATGGGAATTTTGCTTGAATTCACTTGAAAATATATTACTATTAAAACTCATTTATTCTATTCATTCACCCTTCTTCGATATTTATTATGTATCGTTGAAAGTGTATTAGCTACATATTATCAATTACAAAATTTCATCCCCCTCATTTAATTCTTCAATCGATACCTTCCAGTTATCTTTTTACCTTCTTTTTTTTCCTTGAGAATAATAGTAATGATAATGATAATTAATTAATTAATAATAATAGACATTTAATAAGATTTTATTCTGATAACCCTCGAGCTATCCTATGATATCATTCTTACAATGAGGTATTTTATTTTTTATGGTATTAATTGCAAGTAATGCCACATTTTGTATAATAGAATAAGATTGATTTCCAGGTTACCCACGGATTCGGTTCACCTGCCGTATTAGCTGCAATTAATGCAATCATGAATTGGTTAAATGAGTCAATCAAATTGCTCGATACAAAATGAAAATACTTGAAATAGCTGCGTATGTATGAATTTAGTGGTCATATTGTAATTATGTATTTTTATATTCTACTGAAAAAGAAAGCAAAATTAAAGAGAAAAGTTTTTGAGATTTTTTGTAGTTCAGTTTCTCTATTTTTATTGTTGTAGTATTTAAAATTCATACCGAACTTTTGTATTTCCTTTCGCTCAGAAAAAATTGACATTTGTACAGATTATACGAAATTAGTGAAAACAAAAAAGAAATTAATAAATTTTATTTTAATTAAATTTTTTATTGCTTATTATAAATATCATTAGAATATCGTTTGTATTGAATCATTAGTTATTAAGCAATTACTTTCTAGGCTTATTTAAATCCTTTTAGCTAATAGGCTAATATTAAAAGCCATGTAATGTCTTATAATTATCATATCATTTTGATCATATCCATTCATACATCATTTATTGATTAGACGATTCACGGGAACTTACACGTAGCTAACTATAATATATATTATCATCCTAATAAGATGTAATTAAGATAGAAAAAAAGGAATGAATTCTGCTCAATTTTATCAATGTGCATTGATTGTATATGTATCGTTTTGTTTTATTCTTCTTTCTCTTTATTATTATTATTAATCAAAAAATGTAAAATAATGCGATTCGTATTGTATGATTGATTGATTGATTTGCTTATAGTTTGTTTCATTGATTTCTCCCCGCTCCCCCGCTCTATTGCAAAGGAAAGTTATGCTGCCAATAATGTTATTAATATATTGCGATGAAATTATGTGATAAGAGTATGATGAAATAACCTTTTGTTTGATTTTTAACTATACTTTTTCCAATAAAAAATATTGATTGAATTCGTTAAAAGTGCTTCTCAAAAATTTACAATAATTTTAAAAAAGTAGAAAAAGCCATTATTTGCTGAAATTTATTTGAACATCAAAAAAATTTGCTAACTTATTAGACGTCAATATCAGTTATCAATTATCAATTGAATTCGAATTTCATTATTATCAGTTCAGGTAATGAAATTTGTAATTTAAAACTTAACTCAATTAGTTTAATTTTATTTTCTCATTTATCCATAATTTTTGCTGCAACTGTAATAAAATTTATCATCGTTCATAATTTAAAATTTGTTGCGAACATTTACTGATATATACCATACATATAATAATACCTATTATTGGAATAGCTAAAGGTAAAGTTGAATGAAAACTTTGTCTTTTAAATCTTTCATTTCTATAAAAATGAAAATTCAAGAAAATTTAACATTTCATAAAAACAAATCATTTTCAATTTAATACTTAATTCATCGATTTAGAATTCATTTTTTTCAATTTAGACTATTTTTCTTTATTTCTATCTTACAGTTACAAAGTAAAAAGAAAAGATAAAATAAGAAATGATAATTGTTTACTGAAAATGCTTTCTACAAAGCATTTATATAATAATGTTGAAAATCTTATGATGGGAGAAAACTTGTTATTATGGAAAGGAAACCCGAACTGGAATCGGAAAGGTGAATAGTTTTATTGCTTAACTTGTTTCGCTTACCAGAAATCAAAGTAATTAAAAAAGAATAGAAATGAAAATTAACAAATTTGAAGTTTGGGAGTATTATCGATTATTAAATAACATATTAGGCATGTCTAATCATCAGGTACATATATTGCACAAAAAAGGATATTAAGTATACATAATAGGCATAAGGAATTGCTGAGGACCACATATTGGGCATGAGGAATTATTAATAAGTACATATCAAACGTCGACAATTATTAATTACTGATATGAAACATAGCAAATTATAAAGAACGCATATTGGGTACGGAATTAAAAAAACTTCCTTCCATATTTACAACAATTCATCATTTCTGTTTGATTACCTTACAAATAAGTTTCTTATTATAATTTAAGTAATCCGTCAAAGATTTTATAGTTTTTTTCCGGTTTATGATATATTAATGCCGTCCCGATTTAAGGCAACACAGAATGTTTCGGTTTCAAATGTATTAGAATTGTTCTTATTAACGGCATATCACGATTCTGTGATATGACGGAAATAAATTAGTGCTTCAATTCTATTAACATATACATATTCCGTAGTGTGTTTTTGATATCAGTTTAGCATATGGAAACATAAATGTATTATATCTATTATCACAGTTTCAGATTTCCGTAATCCAAATTTTCAAAATTGAAAAAAATTTCACAATTTCAAATTGCTCAACCGCTAGCGATTGTCATTTCATATAGAAATAGTCGTTGAAATTGCCAAAGGTATTTGCCTTTCCTCTATCACAGCATATCACAAGTAATTATAAATTAGCAAAGAATGATGTAGGAAAATCGGTGCAATTATTTGATGAAGTTATAGACCAAATCGTAAAATTCAAACTTTACACATTTACGACTTTCAGTGTTTTGAAATTCGTTACACTGAGATTAATCAATTGAATGTAAGCAAACTTCCTAATGGAAAAAAGTTTGAAAATAATAAATGATGTGAATAGAAGAAGAAGAAGAAGAAGAAGAGGAAATAGTCAAAAAGGTTTAAACGCTTTGTTTCTTTCCTTTCCAATTGCATACATTACTATTGGCAGATGGAATGAATTCAACTTGAAATAAATAAATGAAAAGAATTACAATCAGTTCTTATTGAATTTCTTCCTATGAGAAATTTCAACTTTAATCTTAAAATATTCAAACAAATTTAAAAAATTTCATCAGTCAGCAGCTATGAAAGATATATTAACAGTAGAGATTCTCTTATTTGTTTTATTACAAAAGTCATCTGACAGCCTAAAATATAATTAAAATTATTAGCATTTTGGAGAATTATCAAAAGAACTGTGAAAATTATTTGGTATAAAATTTTAGTAATATAATAAATAGCAACAAATAAATAAAGGAAAGGGAAGAATGAGAAAAGGTAAATTATATCTGTCAATTGTCGCTTCAATGAACTAAATCATTCATCTTTTTACCTTAGCCTTTCTTTCTTTAATGATTGGAAGAGAAAAAAAGAAAAGGAAAGAAAAATGAACTTTTCATTTCAACTTAACAAATTTAATTTTAGTTCCTGCAAGTTTACATTTTAAATTTGATTTATGCTTCCTTCTTCAAATCTCAATGATATCAGCGAAAGCAATTTTTTTAAAGTAATTTCATAACTTTAACACTTAGCTTATTACTTTTCCTATCGTATACTTTCGTTTGTTTCTTTTTAATCATTATTGAAAATTATTTGTTTTTTCATTTTTCATATCAGCAACGTTTTAATTTCGATTTTCTTCTTCTTTCTTCAACTTTGTTTTTTTTTAATTAAAATTAAAAAAAGTTTTCATTTTGTTTTTATAATTGTTTTTATCAAAACTCTTTTCTTCCCAGCATATAAGTTTCATCATACTATAAAGTTTTCAAAATTTTTTCAGGTAAAAGATTCAAGCAATTTTCAAAACGTCAAGCATTACGACAGAAAGAGCTTAGATAAGGTTTTAATTTGCCGAAAGTTTGGAAATTTAGTTTGGTTATTTTAGCTAATTTATCATGCTGTAGGAATTATTCGTACAACATGAAAGATTAGCTGAAATGCACTAAAAAATATTTTGCAAATATCTATAGAAGATTAAAATAAAAGTAATGGAGACTGTGTGGAATGATCAATGATGATGACCAGATGGTCTGAATTCTACCGATTGCTGAACCGACAACAAAATAATTAATTGATATCGTGAGGTTGTCTTTTCGTTTGTTTTTCGATATTATTATAACTTGAATCGAGTAATTACAAAATTTATAACTAAAATCGAAAATTCCAATCCTGAAAGAAAACTTGTTATGAAATCCGGATTCCAAAAAAGAATCAGGAAAAAAGAACTTATTACAAAGTCCAGGAAATAATAAAATATATGATTTCTCAAATTTTATCTTAAATTAAAAATGAAAAAATGGAAGTAGGAATAAAAAATAAATGATATTAATAATTTCATTTAGGTAGGTAAGATTTCATTCATAATTAAACAAATTTTTAAAGGCGATTATTTTGTAGAAAATTTTCAACTCAAATTATCGATTAATTCGATTTTAAATTTATAATGCCATCCACAAGTAGATTTTTTAAAAATAGAAATTATTTTATTTAGCAATTTCTTGTATCGATTTTTGGTACAACATAATATTTCTTTAATTTAATTAATGTTACTCCTTGCCATCATATTAACTATATTATTAATTTATATTTGGTTATCCGATCGAATTTTCCGTATTTCCAATTAAGATATGATGAATAAATGATATTGAAATATTTATAGTCATTCAAGGTCTTTCTGTTAATTTTACATATTTTATCTTTTATATTTTATACCATCCTCCTCATTTATCTTATCACTACAATTATCATTATTATCATTATAACTGAATGTCAATCACTGCACCTAATTCAAACTGTAAAATTCATTCGTTAAAATTTTCATGAACGCAACAATATAGGCAAATATTTAGTCGGCTTTTATTGAATGGAATAATCAACAAATCGAATCATATTAACCATTTACATGAAACCATTCCTGTTAAGATCTACTTCATTTTTTGCTACTTAAAAATGGGAACTTACCATTATTGACAACTACTCAAATTAAATGCATTAAATTACCAATGTCACTTTTACATCGATTCGGAAAGGTTCCATAAAATCTCGATCATTAAGTTAATTTCCTATACATTAGTGTGTAATTGAAGTTATCAAATTAACTTGCTCTCATTTCTTTTATTCCATTATTTCATGAAGGTTACGTATTATTTCATTCCGTTCATACATCGTTTCGTGTAACCTTTATGATACAATAAAAATGGTAGATAACTTTCCACGAAGGTTACCTATCATTTCATGAAGATTACTTTTTCATATCTAATATTAATCGCTCTTATTTTACATCATCCTTATTTCAGGATGCTTAACAAACGGAACTCATCAACGTTTCTTCTCAGCATCAATCAGTAAAATG